TATCTTTGTCATTTCTTTTCTAGGGTATTTTGAAAATTTAATAATTATCTACTGTTACATAGTTCTGCTTCATAACTTTGGAGGTTTTGGTTTTGGTAGGTGTATTTCCTTACTCAGCAATAACTAGCAGACTTGAAATCATTTCACACTTTGTATACTAAGATTTCTGTAATAAAATATTAGTTTTTATCAATTAAAATGCATCCATTAATAGTACCTAAACGTATATTAAAAGTCCAAATAAGTTCTAAATTTATAACTTTGCTATGAATTTTTTGTTTTTGTTTGTCCTTTGAGGATAAAGGCCTCACTTCTTGTATTGTTGACTTTAGCTATTCTGACAAATATGAGGTGATACTGCACTGTAGTTGTGATTTGTATTTCCCTCATGATCACTGATGTTGAGCATCTTCTCATGTCTGTTGGCCATCTGGATGTCTTCTTTAGGAAAATGTCCGTTCATGTCTTCTGCCAGTTTTTCGTTGGATTATTTTTGGGGGTGTTGAATTTGATAACTTTTTTATAGATTTTGGATACTGTTTATTAGATATACCATTTGCAAATAGCTTCTTCCATTCCATAGGTTGCATGTTAGTTTTGTTGATTGTTTCCTTCACTCTACATAAGCTTTTTGTCTTGATGTAGACCGAATAGTTTATTTTTGCTTTTGTTTCCCTTGCCTCAGAAGGCACATCTAGAAAGAAGTTGCTATGGCCATTGACAAAGAAGTAACTGCCTGTGTTCTCCTCTAGTATTTGTATGGTTTCAGGTCTCACATTCAGGTCTTTCATCCATTTTGAATTTATTTTTGTGTATGGTGTAAGAATGTGGTCCAGTTTCATTCTTTCGATGTTGCTGTCCAGTTTTCCTGATGCTGTTTGTTGAAGATAGTGTATTTCCCATTGGATATTCTTTCCTGCTTTGTTTAAGACCAACTGACCATATAGTTGGGGTTTCATAACTGTATTTTCTTTTTTGTTTCATTGATCTATGTTTGTGTGTGTGTGTGTGTTTGTGCTGGTACCATACTGTTTTGATTGCTACAGCTTTGTAATACAGCTTGAAGCCTGGAATTTTGACACCTCTAGCTTTGCTTTGCTTTGCTTTTTCTAGATTGCTCTGGCTATTTGGTATCCTTTTGTAATTCCATATAAACTTGAGGATGGTTCTAGCTGTGTGAAAAATGCTGGTGGTATTTTGACAGGGCTTGCATTAAATGTGTAGATTCCTTTGGGTAGTAGAGACATTTTAACAGTTTGTTCTCCCAATCCATGAGCATCAAATGTCTTTCCATTATTTGTGTCATCTTCAGTTTCTTTCATCAATGTTTTATATTTTTCAGAGCACAGGTCTTTCACCTCTTGGGTTAGGTTGATTCCTGGGTATCTTACTGTTTTTGGTGCAATTGTAAATGGAATTGGTTCCTTAATTTCTCTTTCTGCTGCTTCATTATTGGTACATAGAAATGCAATAGATTTTTGTATGTTGATTTTGTATCCTACAACTGTTGAATTTGTGTATCACTTCTAGCAGTTTTTTGGTGGAGTCTTTTGCATTTTTTATATAGAGTATCATGTCATTTGCAAACAGGGAAAATTTCACTTTGTCCTTGCTGATTTGGATGCCTTTTTTTTTAATTAAAAAATTTTTTTAAGTTTATTTATTTTTGAGTGAGAGAGAGAGAGACAGAGTGCAAGCAGGGGAGGGGCACAGGGAAGAGGGAGACATAGAATCTGAAGCAGACTCCAGGCTCTGAGCTGTCAGCACAGAGTCCGACACGGGGCTCGAACTCACAAGCTGTGAGATCATGACCTGAGCCAAAGTCAGGCGCTTAACCAACTGAGCCACCCAGGTGCTCCCCTTTTGCTTCTTTTTTATGTCTGATTGCTGTGGTTAAGACTTCTAGTACTAGGTTAAGTAACAGTGGTAAGATTGGGCATCACTGTCTTTTTCCTGACCATAGAGCAATACCTCTCAGTTTTTCCCCATTGAGGATGACATTAACTCTGGGTATTTAATATATGGCCTTTATTATGTTGAGGTATGTTCTCTCTAACCATACTTCAAGGATGTGGGGAAAGGGAGAACCCTTTTGCACTGCTGTTGGGAATGCAAACTGTGCAACTACTTTGGAAAAGAGTATGAAAGTTTCTCAGAAAGTTAAAAATAGAACTACTCTATGATCCAGCAGTTGTACTACTAAGTATTTACCCAAAGAATACAAAAATACTAATTCAGAGGGATACATACTTCCCTATGTTTATAGCAGCATTATCTATAATAGCCAAATTATGGAAAGAGCCCAAATGTCTCATGAATGAATGAATGAATGATGGATGAATGAGGAAGATGAGTGAATAAGGAAGATGTGACACACACACACATAATAGAATATTAGCCATATAAAAGAATAAAATCTTGCCATTTGCAATGATGTGGATGGAGCTAAAGAGTATTATACTAAGTGAAGCAACTCAGTAGGAAAAAGAGAAATACTATGTGATTTCATTCATATGTGAAATTTAAGAAACAAACAAGCACAGGGAAAAGAGAGATAAAGGCAAACCAAGAAACACACTCTTAACTATGGAGAACAAACTAATAGTTACCAGAAGGAATGTTGGGGGGAGGGTGTGGTGATGGATTACATAGGTGATTAGGATTAAGGAGTGCCACTTGTGATGATGGCTGAGTGTTGTAAGTATTGAATCACTAAATTGCACACCTGAAACTAATATTACACTGTATACCTAAGTGGAATTTAAATTTAAACTTTAAAAAGAGACTAGCTTCTTAATAGTCCTAATCTGATTCATTAGTCTAATCTCATAATTAACATCAAAGATTGGAAAACAATAAAATATCAAGGAATTTTGCTTAATTGCCTCTGGGGTTTAGACTCTGGGTTATTTCAAGACACTTACACTTTGAAATTTATATGTGTATATATGGTTTGCTCCTAACTTGATGGTCCAACATAAATATACCTTTATATTCTTTGTTTAGAGTGGGAAATAGAGATTATTGTTTTGTTTAAGCACAGTAGGAAACAGGAAAAAATGCCAAAGATGTATGGAATTAAATCTAAAATTTTTTACATATCCCTGTGTTCCTTTGAAAAGCATCTAGGTTTAGATTTCCAAACTGTATATTTAGAAAATTTCTCAGAGCATCAAGACACATGAATGTATAATTCCCTTTGACGAATTAAAAATAAAATTAAGATATCATCAGATATTGCATGATGACAGTTGTAGCAAACTCACTGACTTTCTTAGCTCATAAAGTTTTGACATCACTCTGGGAAGACTATTTCCCTAAATGTATTTTAAGTCCCTTATAACTCTACATGTGAAAGTAGTGAAATGGATATGCCAAATATCCAATTCATAGTTTCATGCAATAATGATTAGAAAGGATATTGACTGAAAATATTGTCCTGTTTACAACTCCGTTATTCCATTTGTAATGAAGTTGGCATCATCAAATTGTAAACATGTTCCTAGTTAAACAAAATTAAATGTTTACACATAATGAACACATTGTTCTTATTGCATTCTTTCTAGATTAATCATTTTGCATAGGAATATCTAAGTCTCAAGCGCTGAGATCTAGGCTAAATCATAAAACTATAAGTCAGGACAAGAATCTGAAATCCAGCATATTTTTTTTTTATTCATTCAAGATGTGAACTTGGAAAATCACTTCCCCTTCTTGTCACCTGTTTTTCTCATCAGTGGAGTGAATCTGTTGGCTTCGTTTCATGGTTTTCACTTTCCAGCAGAAGTCTCATGTCTGACAAAATCTTATGCATAATATCAGCATATGTATAAATAAATAATAATAACGGAGCTTTTCTTATTGAACAACAATGATGCAGAAGGGCAGTGGAGTTTGGCTGGGGACCCTAGAGCCCAATCCTTTATGCTGGTCCTCACCTTCTGATACCACCTGTTGAAGATGACTCTAGGCTATGCCAAATCATCCCTCAAATTCCATGGACCATATTTTGAAAATCATGCAATTATATATGATCATTTTGTTTCTTTAAGATTCCAAAATAATTCTCAATTTCACAAATTGAGACGTCCTCAAAACACTGGAATTCCTTTTGTAATTAAAAAAATGTGCAAATAAGAAGGTTTCAGTTTATGCTAGAAGGATTCTAAGCTAAAAAGCTCACACTTCATTCTAAAGCCACTGACTTAAGTGTTCCATAAAACAGCTATATAATCCCCAATAGTTTCTATTTAGGAAACAAATAAATTGATTAAAACTCCCAAAAACCCTTTAACATACAGAAAGTCATAAGAGTTCTTTAGTTAAATTTTAATTCTCCTGCCCATCTTTATCCTTCACTGGGGAGATGAGAAAAAATTAGTTTGGAGGGGAGTAAATTTAAAGGCAGTATGTGCTTACATGAAAATTTGTCACTTCCCAGGTTTGGTTACCAGAAAGTTAACACTTCTGTCAGTACACGCATATATACCCGCTAGACTCTTGTAGTCACAGTATGTGCAGAATTAGAAAATGAGAAAGAGGAGAATACGTTCTACAAAATCCTTAACTGCTCTGGAAAAGAGAAGCCTGTAGGAGCTGAAGTTGTTCACAAGGGGCCACCTTCCTTGCCTGTTACTGACATAGATTTGATAGTTACAAGGCGAAGAGTAATGTTTGCACTGTGACTAATTCCTGATGTCCTTTATGAGCAAGGGTCCTCCACCTAAAATTAAGGAAATGAAGAAAAGCAATCCTAATAATCCCAAAAGGACCCGAAATGAACGTGTCCCAGAAGTTACCGTATATAGACTCTGTGACATACTTCTCCCTTTGCAAAACTACTGAGTGCAGATCATTACCTTCCAGCAGTCATGTGCAGAGACCTACTTTATAACACTTCAGGGAGACTTAACGTACTAGATCTTGACATGTCTTTCCGGAAAGTGAAATAATTTACAGTTTTCTTCCAGTGGCACTGTTAACTCTTGTATCATTTTCAGGTCCGTGGGGCCGATGCATGGGAGATGAATGTGGCCCAGGAGGCATTCAAACCCGGGCTGTGTGGTGTGCTCATGTGGAAGGCTGGACAACGTTACACACAAACTGTAAACAGGCCGAGAGACCCAGTAATCAGCAAAACTGTTTCAAAGTGTGTGACTGGCACAAGGAGTTATATGACTGGAGGCTGGGACCCTGGAATCACTGTCAGCCTGTGATTTCCAAAAGCCTGGAGAAACCCCTTGAGTGCGTTAAAGGGGAGGAAGGCATTCAGGTGAGAGAGATAACATGCATCCAGAAAGAGAAAGACATTCCGGCAGAGGATATCATTTGTGAGTACTTTGAGCCCAAACCTCTCCTGGAACAGGCCTGTCTCATCCCCTGCCAGCAAGACTGCATCGTGTCTGAGTTTTCTGCCTGGTCAGAATGCTCCAAGACGTGTGGCAGTGGGCTCCAGCACCGGACACGGCATGTGGTAGCGCCACCCCAGTTTGGAGGCTCCGGCTGCCCGAACTTGACAGAGTTTCAGGTGTGCCAGTCCAGCCCGTGTGAGGATGAAGAGACCATGTACAGCTTGCATGTGGGGCCCTGGAGCTCGTGCTCAATGCCTCACTCCAGACAAGTAAGACAGGCAAGGAGACGTGGGAAGAATAAAGAACGGGAAAAGGACCGAGGAAAAGGAGTGAAGGATCCAGAAGCCCGTGAACTTATTAAGAAGAAAAGAAACAGGAACAGACAGAACCGACAAGAGAACAAATATTGGGATATCCAGATCGGATATCAGACCAGAGAGGTTACGTGTACTAACAAGACGGGGAAGGCTGCCAATTTGAGGTAACATTTTATAACCGTTAACTGTGTGTGTGTCTCACTGTCCAAGCCATGGGCTAGAAAGTACTTAAGACTCTGCTGTACTAAGTCCTGAGATTCATATGTATACAACCTAGAATGAGCTACGCTCAAGCATAAGATTTTCTACTTAAGGCATTTGAGCTTTTGTGGGTTTCCTGACATTATTTCTGTTTTACTCATGTTTAGGCCCTGTACTACTAGAGTGAATTGAAACTTCGCTGTCCCAAAGCCATAGCATCAGTTAGTCTCCGTGAGATGACACTACTTCTCTAAGTCAGTAGAACTGTTTCCACCTCCAATGGGGGAACAAGAAACTTACCCAGTAGCTGGAGTTTTGGGATTTTGAATTCATATACTTACTTTAGTGAGAGAAAAGCATACTTGTAATCTCTCCAAGTTCATAGCATTTTTAGAATTACCCTATAAACAAAATCTAAATAGCAACCCAGGGAGCTATACCTAAGAATAATTCTCTTTCACATTTTATAAAATGGAATAAATCTCCCCAGAGGGGAAAAAAAAAGGAAGGACCAGAAAAAATTAAGTAGATGGTATTTAATCATGAGTAGTTTAGAAAACGTGTAATTAATTGGCTGCATGTTCTAGACAGAAATTATTTGTCAAATTATCTCTGGGTAAATAATGACTGTATTATGAAGGACTTTCTCATGTGTGATTTACTTGTTGTGAAAATATTCATTGAGGATTATTCATTGAGGATTATCTAAAGGATATGATGTTCTCTGGATATTCTAAATTTTGCTCTTGGATAAGCCAGACCATCTGGGAGTGTCTTATCTGGATAATTTGCATAATTGCTTTTTCTGAACTATTTATGCAGTTATGACTTGGACTAAACGGAGTGAAATTATGGTAGCATCAGTCAGAATTTTATATCATATTTATTGTAGAAATGACATTGAAAGTGTCATCTCCTCCATCACACAGTCTGTTCTCTTGATTAAAAACACATAAGATAAATTTCACAGAAGTCTCAACCCATGTGCTGCTGGCGAGCAGCTCAATGGCTTTCCTCGTGGCCCTGGAAATCTTATACCAGATCACATGTGCTTGTTTGCTTTGGCTCCTGGGAACATGAATAGGACTGTGCGGCAGGCACGTTGCTTACTACCATAACCTTGGCTTCGTCTTTTTCTCACCCCCATTATTTTCCTTCCTTCATTGCTACCTAGTGATTTTGCTATCTGTGGATTTTGAAAGCTGGTTTTAAAGCCTTTTTAGTGCAGGATATAGTTTAAATAAATGAGTAAACAAGTGAACACTTGACTTATCTAGACAGTAGTTTCTCTGTAGCGTCCCTTTGGTCACCATTTTTAGGATATGTCCAGTCCTTCCCCTGTTTGTACTTAGACAGTTGTATTTTCTCTCAGCCACACCAGTAATCTTTCTTTTCTTCATCTCGTGGTATTGGTCCTGTCTTGGTCGTTCTTGGTCTCGTTAACAGTTGCTTGACATCTTGCCTTGATCCTCCAGGTTCCTACAACTCCTTACATGTATGTGTCTGTATGTGTTCACTTCTGATTCTGTATCATGGTTTCAGTTCAATCCCTGTTTTATTCTTTTCTGACTATTCTTATCCTAGTGATTTCCTGATCTCTTTTCCTGAAGTATTATAGTTATGTTAGTTACTTGGCCCACACTAAGTAATTAAATGAGCCTCCAAGGCAACTTGAGGTGTCTCCTGCTGTCACTGAGTTAACGTGCTGTAGACATTTAATTTAATGTTGACCAGTCAATTAAAAGTATAATTAGGAAAGTACCTACCATTGCATAGAGCCTAATATTCCCATTTAGTTGTTTGAAATAAGCAAACACATTTAAAAATCTGTAGATCATTTGTCAGATGCTTAGATTCTATTAGAAATAGCCTATCTAAAAACAAAATGGCAATTACCTATATGTTATAACTTATTAGGCCATAGATTAAGCTTTACATTAAATTGGTTATTAATGTCTCTTGCAGTTAAGAATTATATATAAGAATATATATGAATAAATATATATGATTAAGAAAGTTAAAGTCTCAGGGAAGAAGGGACAAAAATCAGGTATTTTGACCTATGTTTTGCTCAAACTTTCCACCACATCAGTGAAGCTAATGAAATTAAGAGTAAATGGTCAATGCCAACAATTCTGCTTAATTGTAGCAGAATTACTGCCAGAACTTGCAAGTTGAAGATGATAGATCTGCCCTACTTGTTGCTTTCAAACAGACTGATATCAATAAGAATGAAAAATACAAGTGAAAGTCTATTCTTTCATGACAATAGGAAACAGTCACAGTCTCAAGTCACAAATGATTTAGAGATTTAGAGAATGTGATAAAATTAACTAACTGAAGGAAGACACTTAGAAGGGTGTTCTGTCTTTGCAACTTCTGTGAACACTCAAAATTTCTGAGTAGCCTGAACTTTGTGAGGGCTAAGCTAATGACACCTCATCACTATGGCATGGTCTGAGTTAAGAGAAAGGGCTGCTGGAACATCTTTGAGTTTGTTTGAAAACAGAATGGCATAATAGGCAAGACTGAATAAGAAGCTCACTATGCCATTACTGCCAAGAAAGGACTACCAGTTTGATGGACTGATGGACTAAAGGTTGGTGGCCAGTGGACAAGAATTCTAAATCACTACACACATACCAGGACACAAGGAGCTTCCCTATGAACTAGTTAGTGAGTTTCAGCCAAGCTTAAGTATAGTACTGCCCCAAGCCTAGAGTTGACACGAAAGTAAGGGCAAACATTTCTCCAAGAAACTAAAAATAGTAAAGGAAATATGATGTTTCCAAACCAAAAACAGAAAGAAGAGTTAAGAATATTGAATAAGCTTAACTCATGAATTGAATGAATGATTTGGCAGAGCTTAAATGGAGGGGAATTGGAAAACAAGAAGAAGTAGAATTAACATTAGAACTAAAAATGGAAAAATATCTTGTGAAGAAGAGGCAGTGATAGAACAGTTTAAGACCATATAACTGAACTGTAATTTTAAAAAATGATGGTTATGGAAACAAGCAAGGGAGATCCCTATATGAAACTCTGGTGTTCCTGAAGGTAGGACCATGAGAAGAATTAGAATAGGAAAAAACAAAAACCAAACACCAAATATAACAGGAAAAACAACACAAAGATATCATAGAAGACATTCCTGAATTTAATCCATAGATTGAAATTGCACATGGGTAATAATTCTTCTGGAAGAGGTTGAAATAACATCCTTATGGAAGAACTGGTATAGAATAAAGAAAAAGAGATATCAGACTCTCAGCCAGCATAATACTCAAATTCTGAAACACTAGAAGTATTTCTGTTGTAGTAAAAAACAAGAAAGGATAGCACATTAACTCCAGTCTTAGTTAACGTTGATCTGTAAGTACTAGTTAATGTAGTTGAAAAGAGAAAGAAGTAAAAATTGGAAAGCAGATGGAAAAATTAAGATTTTTACCCCCAGAGATTATGAATATGCCCTGAAAAACTCAAGAGAATCAATTAAAAATATAAAAATAAAGTAACTCTTGGGGGGGGGTTGATTGACACAAAATAATATAAAAATAATCAACATATTTACTAAATACACATAACTATTAAACATGATGGAAACAAAAGATTAAAATATTCCACTTAAAAAAATTAAAAAGACAGAAATAAATCTGTGGATAAACCTAACTATAAAAGTTCTACACAGAACACCAGACTTGGAAACATAAAAAAGATGTGTGCCTATCCAGAACACTTACTAAATATACCCATGGTCCCCACATTTTTACTTTAAAACTTATAAGGGAAAAATAAGCATTACAAGACAGACCAAGAAAATTAAAAAAAAATAAAAGTAGAGAGAAAAAACTAATGTCCCCAAATAGTTACATGTATTTTATTCTATGAAAATAATAACAACAAATTTATGTAAGTGCATGAATAGATCAAACAGAAAAGAGTCTAGAAAGAAGATCTCCAAAACCCTATAAAACATTTCCTTTGGTGGGAAATTAATTAGTTTGTTTTGTTTGGGGGGCTGGTGCTTAACCATGTAAATGAATAAGAAGAATTAAAAAGAAAAAGAAGAATAATTATATGCCTTTGATACTCATTATACCAAAACAAAGCCCAGGTATTTTCAGTACTTAAAAATTTTTCTTTATAATGCTAGAAGAAAGGGTAAAAATTTTAAAGGAAAAGGAGGATATTTTAGGTGACAGAATGCAGAGATCATGCAAGGAAATATTCAATTAGATTTTTAAAAAAGAGAAAATTTTGCTCAAGGAAAATATTAATGAAGTTAAAACCCAGGTAGCAAACTGAGAAAATATATTTGAACATTTACTTGGCAAAGAACTAATTTTCTTAATACTTAAAGAATTCATTAAGAAAAGGGTCAAAACCTAATTGAAAATGAGCTGAAAATTAAGAGACTGAAAAGACAAGTTACAGACTGGTAGAAAATATTTTTGGAAGGCTTTGCTGATAAAGGACTGTTATCAAGAACATACAAAGAACTCTTAAAACTCAACAATAAGAAAACAAATAACCTTATTCAAAAATAGGCCATAGACCTTCCCACCTCACCAAAGAAGATACACAAATGGAAAAGAAGCATATGAAAAGATATATCATAGTAGATCAAGGAGATACACATTAAAACAACACAGAAATACGACTCCACACTTATTAAAATGCCCAAAATCCAGAACACTGGCAACACCAGGTGCTGGTGAAAATGTGACCATTGCTGGTAGGAATGCAAAATGGTTACAGTCATTTTTCAAGACAGCCTGCCAGTTTCTTATAACACTAAACATACTCTTTACCATATGATCTAGCAATTGTGCTCATTGGTATTTACCCAAAGGAACAGAAAACTTATATCCACACAGAAATCTACAGAGAGATGTTTATATAACAACTTTATTCACAGTTGCCAAAACATGAAGGCAACCAAGATGTCCTTGAGAAGATGAAT